TGTTATTTAGGGCTCAGATAGGGTTTAGGGTTTATAGGGTTTAAGGTTTATAGGGTTTAGGGTTTGTAGGGTATAGGGTTTATAGGGTTTAGGGTTTGTAGGGTTAGGGTGTATATAAGGTGTACAGAACTCACAGGGTCTAGGGTCTTATGCTTACCATCTCTTTTTGACATCTGCCTTCCAGCCCCTGAAAAGAGATAAGAAGCCCTAACCACCCTACATCCTAAATCCTAGAACCTCAAACCGTAAACGTCCTAAATCTCAAAACACCCCGCACCCCGATGGACCATCATGTCAGACCACCCTAAAGCGCGAAGCCCGAAGGTCGCTTTAAACCCTAAAGCCCTAGACCCGAAACCCTAAACTTTTAGGGTTTAGGCGTTTAGGGTTTTTCGGGTTTAGGGTTCCCCAAACCCGTGAACTCCTCCTCCAGGAGCCCCGAACCCCAAAACCCTAAGACCCTGGAGCCTTCCGGCTGCTAGAGCTCTAAAAGATGAGTGATGGTAATCATATCCCTGTACAGGCCCCTAATATTTTTCCCGAAAAAGTCGCCCCAAAACCTCGGTCTAATTGTTAAGACAGCCAACACCCTAAACAACCCTGAGCCCTAAACCCTAAACCCTAAGCCCAAAACCCGACAAGTCGATAAGCCTACCTTCAGGCAGGCAGTCGGCCGAGCCGTGGCGGAGCTCACTGAAGTTGGCTTCGGAAGGACCGACCCGGACTCAAGGCTTTCCCATACCCTCCAATATAGGGTTTAGGGTTTAGGGTTTAGGAATAAACCCCATTGCAGGGTTCCTTAAGGGTTCCTTTCAGGGATCTATAGGGCTTTGGGCTTAGGGTTTAGGATGATAGCGCTTAATGAAGGAAGATTCCTTAAGTCATAGTAGGGTCCGTATAGTCCTTAGTTAAGGGATATTGGAAGGTCTGGCTTTGGAGGCCTCAGGCTTTTTGGGTTTGGGGGTTTAGGGGTTTCGGGTTTAGGGTTCAGGGGTTTAGGGTGCAGGGTGCAAGGGTTTAGGGTTTAGGGTTCAGGGGTTTCGGGGTTTAGGGGTTTAGGGGTTTACGGGTTTCGGGGTTTCGGGGTTTAGGGGTTTAGGGGTTTCGGGTTTAGGGTTAAGGGGTTAGGGTTTAGGGTTCAGGGTTTAGGGTTTAGGGGTTAGGGTTCAGGGGTTTAGTAAGTTTAGGGTTTAGGGTTTAGGCATTTAGGGTTTAGGGGTTCCAGGGGTTTAGGGTTTAGGGGTTGAGGTTGATGCTGCATGATCGTTTTGGCGATACAGATATGGTTGGCACTCACGGGTGTCAGGGCTTCCAGAAACGGTAAGTCCTACACCGCAGTCCGTATCACGGTGTTTAAACCCTAAACACTAAACCCCAAACCATAAAACCCTAAACCGAAACCGTAAACCTTATAAGCTCTAAACCCTAAACCCTAAAACCTTAAGCCCTATAAACCCACACCCCTAAACCCTATAAGTAAACTTTAACCTAAAACCATAAGAATCCTGGTCCGCCCGCAGCAGCCCCTCCACGAAACCCAAGCCCCAAACCCTGAAGCCCAGGTCCTGAACTTAAGCCCCAAACAGCCTACCCTGAAACCTAAACCCTAAACCCTAAACCCTAAACCCGAAACCCTAAACCCTAAACCCTAAACTCTACGTTTTTAGGGTTCCTTATTCTGATTTCCTTATATGGGTCCTGGCTCTTTGGGGTTAAGGTACAACTGGAACCTCGGCCCCCTATTTCCCCGAATTCTATCCCGGGCTTAGGGTTTAGGGTTTATAGGGTTAAGGGTTTAGGGTTTATAGGTTTTAGGGTTTAGGGTTTATGTGGTTTAGGGTTTATAGGGCTTAGGGTTTAGGGTTTAGGGTTTATAGGGTCTAGGGTTTCGGGTTTAGGTAAGTAAACCCTAATCCCATACATCCCTGAACCCCGAGCCCGTGAGATGTCACCCGCAGACCCAGGCAAAACCTGTAAACCCTCGGCCTGAGGTTTTCAGTCACAAGACCTTCACGTCTAAACCCTTACCTTTGGTTAGTAGGGAATGGAGGAATGGGAACTATTATAAGTACCATTACTACCATTCTTCCATTCCCTACCAACCAAAGGTAGGAACCTCAAGCCCTGGGTTCTTGGGATTAATGTATTGTCCTTAACCATTAGAATGGGGTTTTGGGGGTATATGATACATAATTGTAAGGAGCCCCAAAATAGTATAGGTAATCATTAAGGCCCCTATAAGCCCTCAGTCAGTCTATAGACTTGACCCTACATCCTCGAAGCATTTCGCCCGATATCCGCGCAGGAACCGACCTGTCATGGATATGGGCTGTGCTTACCATAGCTTTTCAAAGGGCGAGCTTCGTCGCGGCCTTGGGCAAGAAGTACACCTAAACAAAAGCGGGAGTTCAAGGCTAAAGTAGAGGGCTTTACGTAGAGTTTAGGGCTTACGGTTCAGGGTTTAGGGATAGTAGCCATCCGCAGGGTTTGTGTATATAGAGTTTGTAGAATGTACCCCCCCCAACACCAAATTCCAATTATCAAGGTCACTCTACTGGGGTAATCCAGAGTTACGAGTTGTGGGATTTGCTTGTTCAATCAAAGAGGGATCATGAGTAAGACTTTCGACATATCCCGCTAGGGGGGGCCTCTGCCAGAGCAGGAGTTGTAGGGTTTGGGGGATAGGGTTGAGGGGTTCAGCGCATCCGGCTTTTCGATGGCCTCGGGAGGCTTTCAGAGGGTTCGGCAGTGGCTTTCCTCGTTCAGAGTTCTTTTGTTTTCTTCGGCGTAGGGGGCTTTTGGGAGTTCCGGGGCGGTAGAAATACCTATACTCTCCACTGTAGTTCCTCTTGCGGCTGCCTGATAGGATCCTAAATGTAAAGCGGGTTTAGCCAAAAAAAGAGCTACAATGGAGACTATAGGTACCCTCCTTTCGCTAGTCACTCCGAGACCTTATAGGATCCTAAACACAGGACTGGTTCAACCCCAAACAAGCACCTACAATGGAGACAAGAGGTAAGGATTGAGATTGAGGGTAGTCAGGATCCGGGCTGAAGTGGCTGGGGTTTAGGGTTTTAGGGTTGAGGGGTTTAGGGTTTAGGGTTTCGGGGCTTAGGGTTTTAGGGTTTAGGGTTTTAGGGTTTAGGGGTTTAGGGTTTAGGGGTTTAGGGTTTAGGGTTTTACGGGTTAGGGGTTAGGGTGTTGGTATGTAAGCGTCGTGGGAGACTTGAAGGTTCATGGGTAGTGATAAGTGGGGTTTTACGTGGGGTAACTATACCTTTAGCCCATATGACGTACAACCCCACTTATAGCTACCCATGAGCCTGCAAGTACGGTTTAGGCTTCAGGATGTCCGGGATTCGCTGCCCTTGAGAAGCAGCTGTGGCTATATTTTTTTAGAAAAGGGTGTTGGCATAGTGTGCTATGTTTACAGTAAGGAGCCCAACCCTGCGGAAGACTACACCACTCACTAGGGCCCCTATGTTGCAGGATGCTCTAACCCCAGTCCGTCGTGAAATACCGTCATTCAGACGTAGCGTTCCTGCTCAACCCTGTGGGGTTATGCCGTCCAAACACCGGCTTTGATTCATGAGATTTATAGACCGCTTGGTTAAGGGTTGGGCCTAAGGATGTCGGGTTTTTGGGCTTAAGACTTGTAGTATACACCCTTTATCACAAGGATGCCTAGAAATGCGGCTCCACACTTGATCCCGACTTAGGTGTCCAGCTGAGCCTTCGTGATTTCCCGGAAGTGTGCTTGCCCTGGCTTTGCTCGCTTTACAGGCTTTCAGGTGTAGCCGTTTAGTTAGACTATTAAGCGTAATCCTTTTCCAGCAAGGGTCCGACAAGCCCGTTTTGAGACGTTTTGGGGTTCAGGTTCAAGGCTTTCGGGCTTGAGCCCTTAACCCTGAACCCTCAACCCTAAACCCTAAACCCTCCTAAACCTCCGTACGTACTGGGAGGTCCCGAGCCCCTCAGAACCTCGACCCTCCTCACGCAAGAGCACACCCCCGAAACACCAACAAACCATCAGCCCTGAAGCCTAACCCCTAACCCCTAACCCCTAACCCCTAAACCCCTAACCCCTAAACCCTTAAACCCCTGACCCCTAAACCCTAAACCCTAAACCCTAAACCCTAAAGCCTGAACCGTGTAACGTGAACAAAAAGCACACACCCTAACTAACGATCCTGAAGTCTGCCTCGCAGGATCTCGCAGGCGCCTCAAACCCTAAACCCCAAACCCGAAACCCTAAGCTCTAAACCCCTACCCCCTAAACCCCTAAACCCCTAAACCCTAAACCCCGAAGCCCTAAAACCCTAAAGCCCTAAACCCTAAAACCCTAAAGCCTAAACCCCAAACCCTAAAACCCTGAACCCCTAAACCCCTAAACCATGCCCTGAGGATGAAACTGATTGCGTCGTCCATGTCAAGCATGACTTGCCGTCATCCCGGCATCGAAGGCTCCCGGGGTCTCTTGGAGGGTTTAGGGTTTGAGGGTTTAGGGTTTAGGGTTTTAGGGTTTTAGGGTTTAGGCTTTTGGGGGTTTAGGATTTAGGGTTTTGGGTTTAGGTTTTTGGAAGAATTTGATATAGAACCCTTGGAGGAACCATGATTATAGAACCGGAACCCCGATAGAGGCCTCGAAGGGACCCTTAGAGGGAACCCCAAATCAAACAGAGCCCTTAAAGGAGTTAGGGTTTAGGGTTTAGGGTTTAGGGTTTAGGGCTTAGTTAGAGGACTAGGTTGCCCAGTAGGAACCTTTTGCCCTTTTATCTTTTCGGGTTCCCTGATTAAAACCAATTACTAGGAAAGAGGGCACCCTTATTTTCAAAGGGCTACAGGGAAACCAAGAGGAACACTGACAGGTGGACTCGGACTCGTGGCGTTTCGGATTCTGGGTTTGGAGATTCCAGATTCGAGGTGCGGGAGCTTGATTGATGCCTTGCCCAAAGCCATTTGCAGAATGAAGCCCTCGGATTTTCAGATTTGCCAGAGCCATGCCTACGCCCAAAGGCGGCTACTCAGCAGAGGATTCTGGTGCTGGCACACCAGAGATCGTGCTTTCGTTCCTGATGTTTGCGCAGTTCTTTCCCCTGGCCTTGCTTCGAAAGGCCTCCGAGCCCTACAGCTTTGAGACCGAGGCCCTTAACCTCAAATCCTAAGCCTTCAAAAGCTTAAGCCCTAATAGGTGTCCCTAGACCCTAAACCCTAAACCCTACAACTCCATAGACCCTAAACCCTAAACCCTACAGGTCCCTAGACCCTAAGCCCTAAACCCCGAGGAAGCTGGAAAACGACAGCTGGCAAGCCTGCTTGACATCCGCGTGGGCCAGCTGAAGTTTGCCAATGCAAAGCAACTCAAGGCTCCTTAGTAGTGGTTTAGGACTGCAAGGTTGTAGAGTTTGGGGTTTCGGTTCTAGGAGTAGAGTAGGTCATCATTGGCCTTTCGGGAGTATCATAGCTCTTCGATAATCCCAGAGGTTAACCTTTAGTTCCACTAGGATACTGGACAACTAAGGCTCATTTCCGGCATTCCGGCCCCGAACTTGCGCTTCCACACCAGGCGGACCTGTCCTTGAATTGCGAACCGTGCCTGGGTTGTTTTGCTATGGTTTAGCGTTTAGGGTTCAGGGAATCAGGATCCTAGTGTTTCGGGCTCATCTGGGGGTCCCCTGACTTCCGCTAGGTGATCCTCGTCGTCCACGCAGATCTGCGCACATTGACAGCAAGTGCCGACATTCTGCTCTATCTGGGTGCCAAGCCCAAGAAAAGCCATTGGCTCGATTCTCAGTTCATGTTTCAGGAGCTCTGCTTGGGATACTGCGGTAAGGCCGAAACTTGTTGTTGGGTACTTATACTGTTTAAATACTATACTAACATATCTGTATACCTGCAAAAACCCCATAGAACCGTCAAGGGCCGTATCAAGCCCAATCAAGATCCTCATACAACCCCGAATACCCCACAAAGACCCTTAGTAAAACCAAAAATTCAACCCTAATTTAAACGGCTCTAAACCCTAAGCCCTAAACCCTGAGCCCGAAACCGATAGCTTTTTGAACCCAGGAACCTACGAGCCTTTCAGCCGCGCTGCTGCTGACGGCAAGCCCGCTGCATAACAACATGGGCTTCCTGGAGCGCCTCCTACGGTTTAGGAGTTAGGGCTCCGGGTTCAGGGGTTCCGTGTGTTTAGGGTTCTAGGGTTTAGGATTTACGGTGCAGGATTCAGGGTTTAGGTTTTAGGGTTTGAATAACCTCTGAACAAAAAACTGCTCTTCAAATTTTATGCAAAACGACCTGTCAATCCTTTTGCAAACGAGCTCGTCTGCCGCTCGTCTTCTTATTACAAAACGCCGGGCCACCTGTTCGTGATTTAGATTTAAAGCTCTCAAAACTCCCTTCCAGGCGTTGAAAGTTCAGGGTTTAGGGCTTAGAGGGGCTCTAGACGTTTAAGGGTTTGGGGTTTAGGGTTCAGGGTTTAGGGTTTGGATTCGAACTTTTTTTTTGATATTGTTTGCTTTTTCCGGACGTGCGCTGGTTTTTGGGTCACTGATGTCTTTCCGTTTCGAACAGAGGCAGCTCGACCTTCGTGCGACGAACCTCCGTCAGGAACCATTGTTGGTGCAGGCCAACTGTGACTCGGTTCGGAATTCAACTAAGCCAGGATGCTTCCCATACAGGAAAAGCCGACCCTTACTGTAGTGTAATAGCATCAGGAAGTACTGTGTTTGTCCTTGTTTCAATGTCTGAAAGGGCTTCGGGTCGCCACACGACTAGTAAAACGGCCGATGATAAAAGCCCTGCATTACCTTAAGGACCCCAAGCTATGGGAATTATACTATATTCCTTATTATGGGTAATGCAGGATTTATATCATCAACCGTAGTTTCTAGGCCACGCGCTGCAAACCAGAGCCTCATTAGCCTGAAGCCCTCAGCCCGAACGCCAGTTTAAAGGCAATCAATCTCGTAAGGACCTTAGGGTTTAGGGTTTAGGGTCAATCAGGGGCCAGAATAAGGACCTAAGAAGGGCCTGCTTAAGGAAGTGTAGTCCCCTAGCCCCTCCATCCTAGCCCCCCCTAAGGGTCCCTATGAATCAAGGTCGAGGGATGTCGGTTTTCGGGCTTTTACCACTCTTTCGTTGTTAGCGTTACCCTTGCCGAGGCATTTCGGCACAAGTACATCCTCCGAGCACTAGGCCTGCCCTACTTAAAAGACCAGGTAGCTATACTTCTAGTTACTTATAGCTTATAACCCCAATTAAGGTATGTGTAACCTTACTAGGTCCCATGACCCTTCAAGTATACCGAAGCTCTGCACCTAGGCCCGTCCTGCGGAAACAACCAGGCTTTTTCGGGCACACCCCCCGCTGGCGCGTCTTGGCTCTGCAACAAGTGCCGAGGACCTCTTGGGGGTTTAGGGAAGTTTAGGGTTGAGGCTTTAGGGTTTAGGGGTGCGAGTGATGAAGGGGGTTAGGTGTATGTAACGTTTAGGTGAGGGTTTAGGGTTGAGTGGAAGCTGTTGGCGGCTGTGTCACTCATGGGCTTGCCAGTAGAGTAGGCAACTTTTAACCATTTTCGGGTAATATGATCCCCATATACTGTAGTCCCAATGGTAATCTTAGTTTCCCAAGACTGGATACGAACGCCGGCTAAGACGAGTTCATGCTTTGGCTTTCAGCCAGGCTCGAGCCAAGAGAAGCCAAAAAAAAACACATAATCCCCAAACTCCCGACGCCATCCTAATTTACTAAACCAAAATAGCCCTTGAACCCTAAAGCCGAAAAAACACGCTCAGACGTAGATGGAAGGAGACCCAGAGCATTGCCGCCTGGTGCGTCGCGCTGTCGCGGCCTTCCGCTCTGGGGCGGAGCGGGCAAAGACCACACTGGAGTCGATGCTGCCCCTTCGTGGCGGAATAATGTGTAGGCTCCAGTTCAGGATCGGTGTATATACGACGTTGTACGGCGGATTCATGTTTCGGCTTTTGGGGGTGAAGTCGGATTGATGTCGGATTGCTGCGATGGGTGCAGGTTAGGGCGGCTGCTGTTCTTGATTTTGAATGTCGGGTTTCATGTCCGGGGCTGCGCATGTAATCGCGTCGCAAATAGTGGGGATGTGATGCATTTCCTCCAAGATGCAAAGCGGCAAGAAACAGCCCTGAGAATCTCATTAAGATTGTATATGAACCCAAACCTACAATCATATATGCTTCAAATCCGACAAGCCCTCAAGCCCTAAAGCCTAAAGCCCAAAGCTCTAAACTCAAGCCTTAAACCCCGAAGCCTAAACAGCCCTCTTCCTAAACCCGAAATTCCTGCAGCAGTTGCTAAGGCTCTCTGCGATCAAGAGAGGCCAACACTGTGGGTTTGGCATTGATGTAGAACTTTTGAGCTTCAGGGCTTCTTGGGGCTTCTTAGGGTTCAGGGCTTAGGGTTTAGGTTTAGGGCCCAGGGTTTAGGGTTTAGGGTTTCAGAACTTCTTAACTTACCTGGGGTTTAGGTTTGGGGCAGGCGTCTGGGTCTGTTGTTGGGAGCTGGAAGCCTGTCTCTGTCAGGCCATGCTGAAGCTGCGGTGCTCTGTGCAGGCGGGGCTGCTCCAAAGCGAAATGTGTGAGGCCTAAATGATTTCCAATACTATTTTTCGGGGGCTTCCTTCTTATATGTATAGTATAGTATACCACAAACTCTTATATGTATAGTATAGTATACCACAAACCCTATTCAAATCGTTAAGCCCCCTATGTCAGCTTATTCTAAGACCCCTGAGCCCCGAACCCCAGATCCCACTTGCTGAAGCCCCAGATCCCCAGCCCTAAGCTCCACCTGTAGCCGGAAAGACCTACCTTTTTTGGGTTTAGGGTTTAGGGTTTAGGGTTTATGGCTTCGGTACGTAATTCCTTAGAATGGTAAGTCTTTTGGGCCACAGGTATAGTCCCCAAATCCTAAACCTGAAACCTTGAACGTTACCCAAACTCCCTACACCTGATCAACCCTAAATCCTATTGGAGCCTACCTATAGTCTCCATTGTAGTTCCTTTTTGGGGTTACCTTTTGGGATCCTTAATACAGAATTGGTTAAACCAAAAAAAGGAACTACAATGGAGACTATCTAGGAGCCTAAAGCTTGGCACTGTAAGCACTCGACGCTTCGTCGCATCTACATCTGACACCGGGACCTTCAACCATGAACCCGTAAGCTGAAGAAGATCCCTAAGCCGCAGACCCTAAACCCTGAACTACGGTTTAGGGTTTAGGGTTTAGGGTTTCCCTAAACCATTGAAAACAGTGAACACTGAAGTCCCCGAACTTTAAAATCCAACACCCTTGTGTCTGATCGCGCAATCCCAATGATGGTCCCAGACCCTGAAACCCTAAACCCCTCCTCGATGACGGCTTTCAGTGTACTTCTTTTTGTGCGGTGAAGCGACTTTGGCATGACATCAATCGGATTTATATGATGCTTCGGTAGTTCAATCGCAGTTTGTGAGCCCATATAGGTGGCATTTTACAACTAGGCGCAAGACATCTTTGGAAAGTGTTGCCAGACACCACGCGCCATGCTCTTGCAGGCCCAGAGACAAGGAGCCCGAACGCAGCAAACTCCAGTCCACAAGCCCCCTAAATCCTAAGCCCTAGAATCCCCTTCAAAACTTCGACCCTTAAACCTTAAGCCCTAAACCCGCAGAGCCCTTCTTAAACCTCGGCTTTAGGGTTTTGGGTTTTAAGGGCTTGGGCCTTACGGTTTCAAGGGTTTGGCAAGTTGGGGTTTAAGGGTTTAAGGGTTTCGGGCTCAAGGGTCTGAGGGTAACGGTTTATAGGGTGTAGCAAACCCTAAACCCTGAAACTAAATCTCCCCTAAACCCTAAACCTTAAAACCCTGAAACTAAATCTCATAATCTCACCACATTCCCGTCGAAAGCGTAGGTCGCTTCGCCTTCGCATCCCAGAGGCCTTTGCTTTTGGGGATTGTGGTTGGGAGTTTATTGTTGTTTTTTTGTTGTTGGGAGTTTCTTGTTTTTTTTTTGGTGGGGGGGAGTTGTTTTTTGTTATGTCCTGTACCTTGTTGTGACTGCTGTTGCTGTCATACTTACTATCATGTCTGTGACATCTAGGTAATTGCTAGCAGCATGGTTTTCGTAGTGCTGTTGATATTCCTGTGTTGCTTGTTGCGCTGCTTTCTGCGTTTTTCCTCGCACGGTTCTGGGCGAATTACATTGCTTGTTCTGTTACCACATCGAGGCCTCCAATCGCAAGCCTTCGCTGCTGTTTCTGCAGTCAGAACAGGCAATGCCTAAACCCTCAACGGTCTGAGCCCAGTTTAGGCGCGAAGTGCGCGGGTTGTTGCAGCTCAACACCCGAGCAGAAGATTCAACCTGACGTCTCCTCAACCCTCAGTATAGCCCTAAGCCTGCATACCTAGACCCCTATTTGAAGCACATTTTTACCGAAACCCTGAAAACCCTGACTGATCCTGACAACCCTGAACCCTGTGGGCCCGAATCTGTAGACTGAGCGCTGGGCCCCTTTTCGTAGCTTAGAAGGTAAGAGTAGTAGGAGCCCTTGTACTTATATGAACCCCGAAATCGAGCACCATATATAAAGATCACCCCGAAATCGACAGCCCTGAAACCTACAACATTATCCCCTAGAAGGCATATAAATAAGACTCTACACATCCCGTGATCAAAACAAGGACCTCAAATTTAAAAGGTGCCCCTAAGTTTGAAGTAAAACTCTAGATGAAACCCTTTAGCACCTTCAAACTCTTTCGAACTCTGTAAGAACCCACATGCAACTTTAAGAAGCCCCCTTTGGCCTAGTCCATTGGTGTGCGCAGCATGCCCGACGAGAAGGAGCAGAGCCACCCGGTCGGCAGGAGGTCTCTGAGGTTTTGGGTTTTGGGTCTACCTGTAGCCGAAAAGACCTACCCTCTTACAGTTCCTTCTTATGCTTGCTATCAACGCATATATATGTATATATACATACACACACATATATATATAGATAGATATATAGCGTGAGAGAGAGGGTTTAGGGTTTATAGGGTGCAGGGCTGAATCCTCAGCCTTTACATAGAACCCCTAGAGAAACCCTTCTAGAAACTCTTCCAGGCACCCCCCTAAACCCCTAAACCCCCAAACCCCTAAACCCCCAAACCCCTAACCCTAAACCCTAAATCCTAGCCCCCGAACCCCTAACGCCCTAAACCCCTAAAGCCCTAACCCCTAAACCCCTAAAGCCCTAAAACCTAAACCCTAAACCCTAAGACCCACTTTTTCGTCCCCAGGACCTTCGGGCTGGTGCCCCGACTGCAATGCCACCTCAGGGTGCTCCCGGCGCTTCCTCTTCGCGGTCTTGGAGGCTGCCGCGCTTCCTTTGGGTTTAGGGCTTAGGGTTTAGGGTTTAGGGTTTGGGAGAAGTTTGTTGCGGCCTTTGCTTCTGGGTTCCCATATAGGGGTTCCAGAAATCTCCGATGAGAGTTCAAAGGGTCATCGCCGAGGGCCTGCTGGAAGCGGTTTAGGGGTTAGGATTTAGAATTTGGGGTTTCCGAGCATGAAGTTTTACTGCAAGTTTTGTTCAGGGACTTCGGGTTGGGATCTTAGTATGGTTGAGGGGTTTGGTGGTTTAGAATCTGGTGGCGGATTGTCTGTCTGATATGTCCGGTTTGGGATGTACAGTTTGACCCGAAAGGGTTCACTCCAAGCTTTTGCCGGGAGCTCTTCAGCAACAGAGGCTCTTCCGGAACCTCCTAAACCCTAAACAACCCTAAACAACCCTAAACCCCAAAACCTTAAATCCTAAACCCTCACATCCTACAGACCTATGTCCTAAAGTCTAAGCCCTCAGGACCTAAGTCCTAAAGTCTAAGCCCTTAAACCACTAAACCCTTAACCCCTTAAAACCCCCCGTGGTGTGGCGGAGCCCTGAGTGGAACCCTTCCAGGAAGCCCTCAAGAGCCCTAAAATCTTCTGTCTGGAAGTCTTATCGGAACTTTGAAGGGGGAGACCCTGACACGTAGAGCCTCTTTGGTGCCCTTGAAGGGAGACCCCACTACTTCTTATAGAAGCCTATAATGCCCTTTAACCCTAAACCCCAAACCCCAAACCCTAAACCCTAATTATGGAGCCCTATATTATACTATACCATACTATACTATACTATACTATACTCTACTATACTATACTATACCATACTATACCCTTTACCGGAATCCATCGCAAGCCGGGAGGCGCCAAATGGCACGAGGCCAGCCGAGCTCGCGGAGCTGTTGGAGTCCTTGTGGCTGAGCTGGGTTTAGGGTTTAGGGTTTAGGGTTTGGGGTTTAGGGTTTAGGGTTTGGGGTTTAGGGTTTAGGGTTTGGGGTTTAGGGTTTAGGGTTTAGGGTTGAGCCCCGTTATTCTTGGTTTCTGGGTTCAGGTGCTGGGGTTTGGGGTTTTGGGGTTTAGGGTTTAGGCGGGGTCAGGCAGCGTTCGCCGTGGCTTTTCGTCGGATCTGCAGAATTCCGTACTCTAAGCCTTGAATCCAAAGGACTACGGTGAGGCCCAAAGCACAACCCTAAACCCTCAACCCCAAACCCTGAACCCTAAATCCTAAGGGCCCAAAGCGCCGGGCTTGATCAGGGTGTTGGCTTCGGGGGGTTCGGGCCCTTCAAAACCTTCAGCCACAATGCGCGCAAACTTTTGTCGCAGACGGCAGCTGCAGCTAAGGCTCAAGTCCGAAATCCTTTAGTTCTCAATCCTCAGACGCAGACTCTACGCATGCTCCATGGCTCAGTCGAATTCCTGTTGCCTCAAAGCTTGTGTCTGATAGTAACTGTAGCCAAAGCTAATCAGAACCCTTAAGGCTTTTTCCCCAGACCCTCATATCCTGGCCCTCACGGGCAGCAAAGCTACTGTGAAG